ATTATACTGACATCAGGTTTCATGCGCTAATGCGACACAGGGAAGGAAGAGCGGCCCTAGTCACAAGTTTCTGTTGCTTCAAATTTATGAGTTTATATTCTGCAATACAGTTCACTTCTGTGAGCTTTCTATATGCTTCCGCGTCAAATCTAGGAGATTTCCAGGTAAGCCCAGTCAGGCACCAAGCACAAGTGGAGATTGCTAATCAGCGAATAGTTTCTATTTATCGACCTTCTCTTGATATTACCGATTGCAATATTTAGTGAGTTTTTCTCTGCTGATGACATCCTATATTATCTGGCTCATTTTAACCGTTTCTTTAGTGGGCTGGATTGGACCGAGCTCTTCACTTTGTCGCAAAGCTCCGACCTCGAATCTAGTTTCCCTCAAAGTTTTGGTTCCCCTACTTGGCCAGATCGGTATCTGTATCATAATGCAGCTCATCGTTTTTGAGACTGTCCAGTTCCAAGACTGGTAAGGAAACCATCCCCGTATGATTTCTAAAAATCTAACTCCTAATGATTCCCCCTTTTCCTCCTTTAGGTATATACCACCAAGAAAGAAATCCAATGATACAAACGTGAAAAATTCACAAAATACAGCGCTTTTCCTTTTGTCTTGCTTTGAGTATATATTCTCCGGGCCTGTAATCAGCGTCGGGCGTCCCTTCCGGCAGCCAATGACTTCGAACGGTTTGTCAATTCTCCTCCACCACTGTTGCTCTAGTTCACTATTCCATCTTCTTTACTTCGTGCTCTTCTACTTTTACCAGAAACTGATTGAGAGAAAACAATGCAGTACCTTTTGTTGTCACCATAATCGTCACGTTGCTATTTTCTACATACATGCTCTTTGAGCCAGCGAGATGGTTATTCAATTTCATGCAACTTACGGAGATGTCTAACCCGTTCAAAATTTGGATAATGGGGCTAGCGCTTATTAGCTTTGCCATCGCATGGTTTGGGGAGAGACAGATTTTCCCCAGGTTGGCTCGCCTTGTTGGCCGCTTTCATTGTTGGCTTCGTCCAGACCAAGCGAAGCAACGACGTCGGTTTAAGATTCTACTTGAAGAGTCATACATATAGTTGGACATTACTTATTGTATACTCCTCCCATCTTTCGGGTTATTCGGTTGTCGCAGATGTCACAATAGGAATACCTGGCTATTTAGAAGTCGGTGAAATATCAACTATTTCGGGCAGTCCTGCTATTGTATAACGGAGAGTCGACGACCGACCCCATTGTGTATAATTCAGACAACATCCACTCGAATTTAGAAGACTAATGTATGGCTTTCAGGGATGTTGTAAAAACGTATAACTTTATTTGCATGTCTTTATTGGAAGCGATCATGGGGGAAGAAATATGATACAAATATATATCCTCTAACGCATGCTATCCATAGCACCCATCTGCTTATCCGAAATTCGGAGTTGCTCAACACAGCACGTAGCTCCCCGCGTAAACTCCGCCTATAGCGTCCGGCCGTACACGACCGGGTAGCTTCATTTCGTCGTAGGGCTCCATCTTTCCAACGATATTCCTTTCCATTTTCCACACCTTGAGTCATCATCGAAACGTCAATTCAATGTTCCCAAGGGTGCTTCCAACCGAGAAGAGCAGGGCCGTCTTTCTTGGCGCGATACATCAACTAAAGCAATGCACATGGAACAAGTCAGAATACACAAAGTAAATCTCCGTGGTATACATAGGAATCTGCTGATTGTGACGTACGAAGAACCACATGCTAGCCCCAAGAGCGGTTGCCGCGAATCGGTAGAGTGGCCGGCTTGGGCGGACTTGAATTGGGTGCTTGGAAGGCATGGTTGGAGGAATCCAATCGGATAACTTTGTTCGGGGATAACAGTCAGTAAAGCGCAAATGCAGGCAAATTGCAAATTCAATTGTTAGGAGCATACCTTCAACTGGGCTATGAGGGACACGATTGAACATGCAACAGCGAGATAAATTCAATTGCAGCGGGAGGAATAACAAGCTCATCAGAGCCGAGTCACATGATCGGTATTTTCTGTTTCAGGCCTAGCGTGGATTTTTCAACTGAAGCCGTCGCTTTTGCGCCGCAGCTTGGTATGAACATCATCTTCCAGAGCCGGCATCGCTGCTGTTCAACCACCATTTGACGACCAGGAATTATATTTTTTTAAACTTCTTATACGGGCGATAATCTTGCGACATATGCTGATATCGCAGGAGTGAACGGATAGATGCTTGGAGCCGCCGTATTCAAACGGGACCACTGGAGCGTCGCGTTTCTGCGCGAATATTAACTATTTGGCTCATTCCTTTTTCTAGCTATACAAAAAGCTCTATATCGGACGTTCCGAACTTTCTACAGCCTTTTGGTCGAACCTTGGATTATCCTTCCTTCGTTATCGAAGCCACGTCCCTATCTTGGATGCAGCACTGTGAAGAGAACCGATGTACGCTCAGACTGCCGGCCACCGCATAATCGCGCCGACACCATAAGGGTGCTCGTTTTTCTTGTCGATGCTGTGTGGAAAGCCCTAATGAAAACCTTTGCTTACTGGAGGTCCAAATATTAAATAAGTCTCCCGAATTGAGGGAAGGCTGGTCAAAATTTCGACGAAGATGGTCATCCCCAACTCCTCACCTCAATCCAGAATTCCTTTGGAACGCGATGACCACGGAAATCCGCGATTCCATGGCTGCTCGAGTATTAGAGAGTTTGAGTTTCTGGGGAAGCTTGGAGAGGGCACATTCGGGTATGTTGGGAACGATACAGATTTCTTGTGATGACGAAAATCTTATTTACAAATCCTAGCGAGGTATACAAGGCCCGCTCCAAACGGTCGGGTGCCATAGTTGCATTGAAGAAGATCTTAATGCACAATGAGAAAGATGGGGTAAGTTATCCGTGCTAGATATATTTTGTATCTACTTTGTCTAATCTGCCTACCGTAGTTTCCTATAACAGCCCTGCGAGAAATAAAACTTCTCAAGATGCTTTCGCACCCGAATGTTCTACAGCTCCAGGAAATGGCGGTTGAGCGCCCTCGAGGTTTGTTTGTACCGTGTCTCTCTGTCTTCGTTTCAGGGTGAGGCTTACAATTGAAAAGGGGAAGGAAGGAAAAAACCCAGCATGTATATGGTCACTCCATATATGGACCATGATCTTTCAGGCCTACTGGAAAATCCTAGCGTCCACTTTACAGAACCTCAAATCAAGTGTTATATGCTACAACTCTTAGAAGGCCTACGGTATTTACATGAGGTGCATACTTCCATGGTTCCCGGGCGTTTGTTTCAATGCCAAGCTAACTAATGGCTTAGAATAAAATATTACATCGTGACATGAAAGGTTAGAAAATAAAAACTTTAAGAGACTTGTTGCAACAACATACTGACAGAATTTCCAGCTGCGAATCTTCTAATCAACAATAAAGGAATACTTCAAATTGCAGACTTCGGTCTGGCTCGACCATATGACGAGCCACCACCACAACCTGGCAAAGGGGGCGGGGAAGCAGTGAGAGAGTACACGACGTTAGTTGTCACTCGATGGTATAGACCGCCAGAACTCCTACTTCACCTTCGGAAGTATACTACTGCTATCGATATGTGGGGTGTTGGGTAAGCGAGCCTGCGATGGGTTAGAACTACATTTAGCCCGTACTAACTCCTCACACAGCTGTGTCTTCGGAGAAATGTTCAAGGGTAAACCGATTCTCGCTGGGAGCAGTGACATTAATCAGGCCCATCTCATCTTCAACCTTGTCGGCACCCCAACAGAAGAAAACATGCCAGGATGGAGCTCATTACCAGGGTGTGACGGCGTGAAGAATTTCGGCACCAAGCAAGGCACCCTTGCCACTGTTTTTAAAGAGTGCGTCACAGATATCCCAAATTTATAACGCATTCATATTAATTCTAACATATCACGCAGGCAAGGACCAGGAGTTATATCTCTCCTAGGTGAACTCCTTAAGTTGGATTGGCGCAAGAGAATCAATGCTATCGACGCCCTTCAGCACCCCTACTTTCGCACTCCCCCGTTCCCTGCTCGGCCTGGCGACCTACCAACATTTGAAGATTCACATGAGCTCGACAGAAGGAAGTTCCGTGGCCAGAAGGCCGCACTACCTCCTGCCCCTGCAGGAGGCTCAGTAGGCATGGGGCCCAACGGCGAATGGACTTCTGGATCAGGATCTAGGCAAACTACCGATCAGAGATCGAGTCGGATCCCGAATGCAGCTCGTGGCCCTCCGGCAAATGGAGCTCCCGTAGTCGGTCGTCGACCTTTCGACAGTCGCCTTCCTGACGTCTCGCACTCCCAGAGGAGACAGGGATCGGCTGAACCGCGCGGGCATCTTCCCGCTTGGCAACGGGATTCTGCGCTACCTCCCAAACCCCCTGTATCTTCCCATCAGCCATGGACAGGAGGCCAGAGCTGGCGGGGGGACATTCGCTCCGAACCTAGACGAGACGGCCCGCCGCCTCGCCGGGAAGGCGGCTTGGATTCATATGTCCCGACTTACGACGGGCCGTCTGATCGTCTCAGAGACCGGGACGACGGTAGACGAGATACTGCGGAACCGCGGGATTATGATTGGGATCGTTCGAGGAGACGGAGTCGAAGCCCGGAGCCGAGACATAGGACTCGGTCCCGGGAAAGTAACCCATACTACGATCTTCACCGGCGATGATATCTGTGGCCACCACTTCGGTGAACCACAGTATCGTCCGGGGTAAGAAGTGTTAAATATTCTATACTTTTTAGCGAAGCATGCTACGTGGAACCGAATCTAGCTGGAGGTATACTTAACAAAGCCATTTATATGAAATAGGTTATGGAAAGCGTGGCAATTTAATTAAATCCGGTAGCATGGGCGGCGTTATTTGGCAGTTGTCCTTTGTTCTTACTGGTGGTTGGGTGGTGGGTGTTCTGGGCTTTGCGATTGAGAGGGAACGCGGTGTATTGAAAAAATCACATATGAATAGAAGTATTTCCTCCTCAAAAATTCGAAGGACTCCGTAGTCAATGACTTATTATTACTTTTGTTTATAATGCATGAGGTAGGGAAATATGCATATATATTATTACTTCTAACGAACGAGTGATTCGGAAATATCATTGATCAGACATTCATGGTGGACAGAGAACAGATGGAAACATGTAAATTACCCGGCCCTATCCCAATGACAGACAGGTAAATCTTCGTATCCCGTCATCTTTGAAAATTGTTTCCAGAGCCTTCACTTTTGAAACAATACAACCGTCCCGATACCAACGCCAAAAAATGGGGCAAAGAGTTTTTTGTCTGTTGAGAGACGTACGTGATGAAGAAATATAAAATCGTATATCTAGTGGTGAGTCTGCTGGCTGGTCGATACACAAACACAGCCTGTGCCTAAATGTCGTTGAGTAGGTAGGTAGGTAGGTAGGTAGGAAGTTAGGTAGTTAGGTAAAATCAGGGTGGTGCACTTAATATAAGATTCGGGTCATAATTCGAGCTAGATTAAAACCCACTTGTTAGTTTAAAAGAATTCCTTTTGTTTTGATAGGGAAGGAAAGCCGTGGTGGGGGTGGGTATTTTGCACATACAGGGTAAGCCCTCGAGCCTTTTATAAAGTTCCTTGATATCGCTGGTATGGACGTCGCTGATGTCGGCCATCAGATATGCGACCTGTTGTGCGCTGTTAGCTACTCCAGATAAAATCGTATGGCCCGTTTCCTAGCGGGAGAACAGGATTGCGTACATCACCGCGACTATCTGTCATTTGTTTATCTACGTTGTGGTCGCTTAGGATTTCGTTTACTAACAAGCTTTATTTAGTATTAGAATACTCAATCAGGGATGATGAGCTGGTGAAGATCTTCTACATACCTTCCCGCAGTACACCGGGGATATTTTGATGAATGAAAATGACCTATTTTACAACACACATTTAGCTTTGCTTTCCACTTATTTCATATGTATTTAGGAAGCAGTCTTCAAAAAATCCACTCACCCGGCCATGGTCAGGCTCGTCCATCGTCAAGGACCGCAGTTTCACCTCGGGCATATTGACAGCCCCCAGAGTCACACCTTCATTTACATAGCGCACCAGGGCCTCAGCAACTTCAATGCCAATCGCGCTCTGCGCCTCCTCGGTACTCCCGCCAATATGAGGCGTGAGGATCAGGTTCTTCAAGCCCCTCAAATCCGTACCCCACTTGTTAAGGTCATTGTTGAAATAGTCCCCATTGCCCGCGGGTTCGTTGGGGTAGACATCCAGCGCCGCGCCGGCGATTTTGCCCTCGCGCATCGCCTGTATTAGAGCGGGGATGTCGACGACGCTCCCGCGGCTGGCGTTGATGAGGTAGCTTCCGTATTTCATCTGGCTGAATTGTTCTGCGCTGATCATGTTCTTCGTCTCCGGTAGCTCGGGTACGTGTAGCGTTACGAAGTCTGCCTCCCTGAGCAGGGCTTGTAAGGTCGGCACTTGTCGTGCTGTTCCCATTGCCATCAGATTGACAACGTCGTAGTATATCACGTTCATACCCATCGCGTCTGCGAGGACGGACAATTGAGAGCCAATATGACCATATCCGACGATGCCTGTAGAAGTATATATAATAAGCCCGCCATTCCCCCCAATACAAACGGTACGAAAAAATAAAATAATAAAAATAAAAGCAAAGAACCAGAATTGATATGAACTCACCAAGCGTCTTCCCGCGCACCTCCCAGCACTTATTGCTCACCTTATTCCACATCCCATTATGCATCTCGCTCGAGCGGTCACACAGCTGTCGAGCCAGCGAAATGATCTCGCCAATCACCAACTCCGCCACGCTGCGCGAGTTGCTGAAGGGTGAGTTGAAAACTGCCATGCCATGCGTCGCGGCATACTGGAGGTCGACCTGGTTCGTGCCGATGCAGAAGCAGCCGATGGCGATGAGGTTGCGCGCCTCTTTGAGTACCCGCTCCGTTAGCTTGGTCTTGGACCGTATGCCAATGACGTGCACATCCCTAGATTGATGAGAAAAAAAGTGGTTTCGGAATTAGTTTTTACTTGAGCTTTTCTGCCAATTGCGTGGGCGTGGGTGCGGTGCGGCTTCACCATAGCCCCGCGGGGGGGGGTTGGTTCTGGAGGATGGCGGGCTGGAGGGGGTCAAGAGGGTAGGCAGCACACCGAATCTTTTCAATCAGCTCATCCTCCGGTAACGAAGACTTCAGGTGCTCGACCTGGTAGCCCTGTTCTCGCAGAATATCCCTTCCGGTCTGGTTTACATTTTCCAGAAGCAAAATTTTGATATCCTCAGTCGCAAAGGGTTTCAATGGCTTGAGGGCTGCGGTGCTTGTGGCTTGCGCGGTGGGATGACTGGATGGTGAGGAGTAGAACACTGCGGAGGGGGAGGTGGAAAAGCTGAAGCTGCGGGAAACACGACGAACGTGTCCCTCCGGGGGAGCTCTTATGTCTCTTGCGGCGGACATCATGGGGAGTTGATTTAGTTGTTCTTGGGACAATTGGAGTGGGCTTGCACAGAGAGGTTTGTTCCGCTTGTTGATCGGCGAAAAACTATAAAAAAAAAAAAAAAATGATCAAAAAATGATGCAATGGAAAAGAAACTTTTGCTCTCGGTGAATAGAATGGACCGACCTCTCTTTTATAGTTTTCTGCCCACTCTGAACAGCAGGGATACTTGCTTGCCAGTCTGAGTCACAATAATTTTTATTTTAAATATGAATTATTAATCTCTACGGGTGACAAATACCTGTATCTTGATGTGCATTTGGGTTAAACATTTCCCCAGATAGCGTGGTGGGGTGGTTTGTTCATTTACTGAATTCAATATTGATAAAATTATCTTCACCACAGCGCTTTTTATTCTTAGTTTTGTAAATGTAAATGTATATATGAAGCATCAGAAAGCAACTGGTATAAGTATAATATCTTTTGAGATGTCACAAATAGGTAAACAATCTATTTTATTTACCACATGAAAATTGCACCGAATCTGTCCCACGTATATATGACGTAGTTGACAAGATTGCAGGTGCGGCTACTGCGTGTGTGTCGCAGTTCCTATACCTTCAAGTTCTGCATCCCCTCAGTCACATTGCTCTTCTTCGGTGCAGGGTTCTGCTTAGTCTTAGATTTTGACTTATCCGCACTGGGCTTCTCAACCAACTCCTTAGTATACGGGATCTCTGTAGGTTGGCCCGGGATATACTTCCGGAGCACCTTGGGGACAATTATACCCTACATACCCGAGAGAAGACGGAAAAGGAATAATCAGTTAGCCGTGGGTACCTTTTCCTCTTTTATGATAGGTTTATTGCTTGAAACCAACTAATTCAGGGGATTGCAGAGGAGGTGGGAGTGGGTGAAGGAAGGGGCAAGACTCACCGTTTCAGTCTGGTAGTTTTCCAAGATACAGCAGAGTGTCCGCTCTGTAGCACACAGGGTAGCATTTAACGCGTGCACATAAACTTTCTTATTCTCATCACTGCGGGTGTCCTTCTCATCATCCTTCTTCGCTCTATATCGGATTTCCAGCGCCCGGGATTGGTAATCTGTGCAGTTTGAGCAAGAGACCAGTTCCTTGTATGTGCCCTGGGACGGGAACCACGCTTCCAAGTCGTTCTTCCTCGATGCGGCATTATTCAGAGCGCCGGAGACGATGTCGACAACTCGATACGGGAGGCCGAGAGATTGATAGAATTCTTCTGAATTCTTCATCATATCTTCAAACGCATCCCATGAGTCCTCGGGTTTGGTCATCACGAATTGTTCTATCTATATTGATGATGATGTTAAGTAAAAAAGAAGAAAAAGAAAAAAAGAAAGAAAGAAACAAAAACACCAAATTACTTTGAAACCTACCTTTTCAAACTGATGCACACGGAAAATTCCCATTACTTCCTTGCCATGAGAACCAGCCTCCTTTCTATAGCAAGTGCTGTACCCGGCATATTTGATAGGAAGGTCGCTGTCCTGAAGCCACTCTCCGCTATGTAGAGCGGACAAGGGCTGTTCGGAAGTCGCAATCAGATATCTCTCTGAAGCCTTATCCTCGTTTTCGGTAACCTTGTAAAGCTCCTCGTCGAACTGCTCGAGCTGCGCAGTCTTGGCCATATACTGCTTCAGCATGAAATAGGGTGGCTGATTAAGGGTGTATTTCTTGCTGAACAGGAACTCCAGTCCGTAGTTCACCAGTGCAAGGTTTAGGAGTAGACCATAGTTGATCAGACAATACCCCCGGTGCCCGAAGATTTTGGTGCCTCGTTTCTGGTCAAAACCATCCAATCGGTGAAGCACGTCGTCGTGTGAGAGGCAGTAGGCTGGTTTTTCCTCCTTAAACCCTTCTGGCGCCCATGTCGAGATAATAGCGTTATCCGCCTAAAAGAACAAAATTGAACAATTTTCAGCCTAGTTGGCCATTGATTCCTCCAGGGGGATGCAAGGGGTTACCAACCTCATCCTGGCTTGTAGGTACATCTGCATGGACGTAATTCCCAATCGATGCGAGTTTCCGGTCTCTCAGCAACTCCTTCTCGGTGGCTAAAGCATCTGCATCCTTCTTTTGTTTCTCCAGCTCCGTCTTCTCCGCGATCAGATCAGCCGCGTCTTCCTTATTCTAGATAAATGCCCAAAAAATGATCTATTAGTCACGGCTGGTACGTATATATATGGATGGATGTATAAGGACACACCACGTTTACAATTCGCCAAACAAAAAGGAGGGGGAAAAAAAATAAAAAAATCAAACCTTCTTTTTCCTCCCAATTTCCTTCTGGACCTTATTGATCTTCTCACCTATCTGAGTAACCTCATAGCGCGCTAGACACAAAATGTCAATGTCAGTTTCATAATGTTCAATTCCGCGAAAAACAAAATTTGAGCAAATGTAAGTTTTGAAGTTCGGGGTCAAGGGGCTTCCTCACATTCTCGGGCGACTTTGAACAAAGCAATAACCTCGTCCACCGCCTCCACAGGCGCACCACGACGCCGCTGGTTCTCCCGTAATCTCTCCTGATTTTCCGCGATCTTCTCCGGAGTGGCTCCGTGGACAAAGTCCGCAATGTCAAGCATGGTTGAATGATTGATCCGGACTGGCTTGGTCCTTTTTTCCCTTTTCTTAAGACTTTCTGCGGAAAAGTTTAAGGTAAGGGGGACCCGGGATTGGAGATTTCAAATGGCCCCAAGAGAAGAGAGAGTGCGCTAAGAAACGAAACCGTGAGTTGCGGGGTGGGATTTGGATTTGGCAGAGAGCGACGACTCGCGAGGTTGATTGCTGGAGTAAGTAGTCTTTCTTTTCTTTTGTGTCAGAGTCCAGACAGACATGGAGGGGCAGAATTATTGCCGGATGCGGAAAATGAGGGGCGTGCAGAGAGGAGAAACCATGCCCACATTCTGCCGTTTATCACCGCCTTCCTATTCTGGGAGAAAGAAAGAAAGAAAAACGGAATTAAAAACTTAAAGAAGGAATAAACGGCTGAACCTAATTGCGTTAGCTGCTGGGGAAAAGAAAAAAGCAAAACCGCGAAAAAGAAACGAGCTTGGAGCCGCCTCGAGTCTCGAGTCAGCCAGGAATCAGGGATCAAGCTCTGGAATGAGAATAATAATAATACGGAGTATGTCACAACAAAATGCGCTCGCTATGTAGTGTATTTTCGCGCTCAAACAAATACTCGCGCAGCCCGGCTGTTGTTAGCCTGCGCCTTATTGTTTTTATTTATTATTATGATTATTATGATTATTATCATCATCGTTTTTATTATTAGTATTATTAGTATTTTATTAGTATTATTATTATTATTATTAGATACCATACAAGCCCTACCCTACACCGTTTTTGTAGAACCTTGCGGTCAGCAAACAAAGTCAGTAGGTTGATAATGAAATGAGCGGTCAAAACCTCATCGTCATAAATGGGGCATGCCGCCTTAAACAAAAACAAGTTTGACCATCCTTCTAGTAATAGTCTGTCTACGTATGCTGCCATACGGAGTACCAGAAAAAAATAACGCATTGCCGGAAACAACGAATAATAATAAAAGTGAGGGAAAAATAGAAAAATAGAGATTGAAACGTGTAACAAAGAATAGGGGGAAAGGGCATATAACAGGAACAAAAAAGAAGGAACACCAGTAAAACCGCTTGAAGTCACACACACAGGCAAATATGTCGGTGTGCCTTCACTGATTGCCAGATATACACATCACAATAACCCACAACCCCAAACTAAACATGTGTAAAAATGGGAATTCAAGAAAAACAATAATAATATCTGGCCCAGAAGGGCCAAAAAAACCAAAATAAAAGTTAAAAAATAGAACGTTCCTGTGACCATGGGAAAACGCCCTCTTCCCAAGGACTTGCGCAAAAAGAAAGCAGACCAATCCATTCCACCCACCGTAAACACGAACATCAAAAACTAAAAATAAAAATAAAAGATAAAAAGATAAAAAGAAGTAAAAGCGGTAAAAGAGAAAGAAGAGAACATTATCTCATAACAAGGGACATTTCATGTGAGTGTCGTATGTCGCGTGCGTATTTGCGTCTGGCATGTTTACATAACGATGCACTTACTGCCGCTGGACGGCTGGGTTGGATTCTGCGATTTCTCAACTTCCGCGATGATCAGGTCGAAGGCTTTGGCGACATTCTCGTCCAGCCGGGCACTGGCTTCGGTCCAGGCGCAATTGAATTCCTCCCCGAGCTTCTTCCCTTCTTCCTCTGTCACTTGTCGTACGTCTGGTTTGAGATCGCTTTTGTTTCCGACTACGACTAGGGGTACCCATTCCGCTCCCTGGAAAATTAAAATATACAGTCAGCGGAGATCCCTCGAAAATAGGAAAAAAGAAAAGAAATAAGGTGCTCACCAGGTGATTGAGAATCTTATCCCGAATAACCCTGACCATGTCAAAAGACTGGCGCGATGCGACTGAGTAAACGATGATGTAGCCATGAATGCCGATGAAATGTTTCGAGTTCAAGATACTGTATTCATCCTGGCCGGCGGTGTCCACGATCTCCGTAGCAAAGTCCTGGCCCTTGTACTTGATGGTGCTACTGAATGTATTCTCAATGGTCGGGTAGTAGCTCTCAACAAACACGCCGTCAACGAACCGAACGGTAAGTGATGATTTGCCTGTGATCGAGGAGGAACGCCCATCAAAGTTAACAACACGGAGCAAAGTAGAGGGAAAAAAAAGGAAAGAAAAAGAAACGAAATTATGAAATTTCTTAAACATACCCACAGATCTGCTGCCAACAACCGCAATCTTCCGTTGCTTTGGGGGAGGTGCCATATTTCGAATTGATTTTTATCTTCGGGATAGGATAGGGAGGGACGGGATGTTGTTAAATATAGATTGAGAGTTTTAAGGTAAGGTTTTAAAAGAAAAAAAACGGGGGGCGCTGTTCTCCTTTTTGGCACTCTCGGTTTGGCACACAGCGCGGGAAGGCTGTCGGGATACTCGGGATCTCGGGATATATTTGGACAGTCGGGTCAGGGGCTGAGCGAGAACTGGCCTGAATTTGGCGCGAGGGAGGGAGGACAAGACAGGACAGGTCAAGATAGGACGGGGCGGGAGGAATTGAGTAGTGATATTAAGATTAATATTGTTGGAAGTTTATGGGAACCTGTTTGAATAATATTATTATTAATAAGAAATGGCTTCAGCTGGCGCGTGGAGAATGAGGAAGAAGAAGAATAAAAATAAATAAGAAGTAATGGAGAATGGGTTATGGGGCTAGGGAGGCGTAACTAACAATGGGAGTTACAGTAGTAACTTAAGCATGTATGGACAGATGCAGGCTTTGGAGGTATGTATGTATGTATGTATGTACTGTTGATGCTGTTGATGCTGCTGATGCGGCTGATGATGAATGGTTCGGAAAGTAGACAAGCGAAGATTAAAAAGACAGACAGACTAGACAGTGAGAGAGAGTGGTGATTGATTGATGGATGAGGATGAAGAAGGAGAAGGGAAAGAGGGAGAGGAACAACAAGAACAGGAAAAAGAAGCAAGCATGGATGATGGCTCCCCGAGCTATCTTTATATATAACTATCCCAGTAGTTTGGTCCGGCGGTATGGATCAATCACCAATATCAATTAATACACAGACAGAACCCATATATTTAATATACCCAGCCATCTCCGGGAAATCTGATACCACCTATACCTAATAGCAGTGACAGAGTGACAGACAGAGTGACAGACAGAGTGACAGACAAGAGTGCCAAGGTGACAGTGACAGTGACAACAGCTGGCAATAATAATTAATAATGGAAAAATCTCAAGTTTTCCAGTTGTTACTCCATAGTTACGCAATGCATGCAAACTCATCCCAGAACCTTGGAAGATGTAGGTACAGTACACACATACTTCGCCCAAACAGAGGTACATACTGCGTACATAACCTTACCTCCTCCTCCTCCTGCTCCCTCCCCCGCCTCCGTGTCCAACAGTCGCCACCCGCTCTGCTCCATTATTCTAGTCTCTGCACAGGATATTCCTACCATGCTTCGGGTAATTTACTCTGGCCTGTGGTTCCGCTCCCTTACTACCAGTTACTAGTCCCGTACGCCATCCACAATACGCCGGGGTTCCCAGCCAATCACAGCCGTTTCCGCCCTTCTGCGGCGCCTCCCCCCCTTGCAGCCAGCCTTGGCACCACGTGAAACTGCTGGCGCGTGTCGATCCATCGCCTGGTCCAGGCCTTGAGTCTCTTACCTTCTACAATGGCATTTGGTATTGGGTATTGGGTATTGGGTATTTGGCCAGCCGGGAGACAGACACACGCCGAGAAAGATAGAGAAAGAAATATATTAGTGAGAGAGCATGCATGCGTGCATGGATGTTAACTAATGTGTCTCAGTTCCTTTGGAAGGATAGGTTAAGTAAGACATGAACAAAATACATCAACATCATTCGTATCCCTTGATAAACTATACAAGCGTAAATTTCATGGTGGTAGTAGTTGAGCGGAGCATGCTTTCCCTCTCACTCAGCAAATCCCTTCCGCTTGCTTGATCCGGTCTACAATGCTTTGCAGTCTGCACGTGAAGCCGGACACAGATTCATGCTCTCCTCCCCCGGCCTGGAGCTCCTTCTCAACTTTTCGGTGGTAGTGTAGAAACTCTTCAACAGTAGCCAGCACCCGGTCAATGTTTCTCCCCTGGAGGGAATTCCTGACGTGTAATCGCGCCTCCTCATTGAGGCATACTGTGCTCAGAAGAACAGATAAATAACCAAACGCCACATTGGAGTGTGTCTGGACAACGGAGTCCGCCTAAACGTTACCAATGTTAGCGTCTTGAGAAAGAGAGCATTTTCTTTTTGAGATACAGGAATCCCTTACCTCAGAAGTTTTCTCCCATCCATCCTTAAACAACTGCAACAGCCTGTCAAGGAACGTCGTCGCTGTCGTACCGCTTCGTGTTTGCAAAATAAGCTGTCGTGCAGTCTCATTCCATTCCGTCAAATTGATCAACGTTCCAAGCGCCAAAATAACTGCGTCTAACAACGAGTCTCGTTTATCGCTGCCAAAATCCTCCGACACCAGCCCAAAATTTGACAACACGATCACCATCAGCGCGCGTATCAGCTCTGGCGTTGAAAAATCTTCGCAGAGTGAAGGGTTATTATTCGTAAGATTCAAGATCAGTCGGATTTCTAGTAACTGGATCTGCCTGCAACACGGCTCCGAGTAACGAGATAGTTGTAGCAGAAGCGGCCCAAGTCGGGAAAGCCTCTTCAATATCTTCTCCTGGCTTGGTTCGAGCAAATTCAGGGCAACTGTGTACGATTCTAAGACGGAGAATGTCAACTCGAGGATTAAGACATCGTCCGTCTTTGCATCTTGGATTTGCTCTGGGAGCACCGAATGCTGCAGAAGTAGGTCAACCAGTAGAGATAGAACATCGTTAGATAGATATTCCATGGCATCTCCACTCTCGCGGGCCCGGCGCACAGCCATCTCAATGCATCGCAATGCTAGGATCTGAGGAGACCGTTTGTTCGGTTTGACGTCGGGCCAGATTTTGCTCTGAGCTAATTGATCACAAAAGTCCCGAAGAGATGCTTGGACAGCTTTCGACGTTCTTGTGGGCCCAAATTTTGAGATGCCAACGATATCAGATGTGTTTGTTACCATCTTTGGGATAGTTTTAAACACTTGAGTAGAGCAAGTGTGCAAAACAACAGACGACAATGGACCAGCTGACAAAATTATTCCATAGGCGCAGACAATTAGGTATGTGTAGATGGCGTCGCTCAAGTCCCCGGCCCGCTTTGCAAGCCGTTTCTCCAAGCCATGAGCCAGGAATCGGCGTGTGAATTGGTGATCCATCAGCTTTGTACAGAGCTGGATTATGCCACTGTATCGACGTGAAGCTGAAGACTTAGAGTCTTCGATGTCCTCAAAAATTGCGTCGATGATCCCTTCAAACCTAGCATTCTCGCCCGCACGACGCAGTTCATAAATATTTCGGACTACACCGCTGGAGCTATCATCATCGTCGTCGCCGGTACCTCGGGTTGCAAGCGGACGAGAAGTTTTTGAAGATACGGAGTTAGATACGCCGCGTCCAGCACTGGCCCCACCTCCGTACCGCTGAGCAAAGGAAGCCTGGATCGGGGTTTCCGCAATCAGATCTGCAGTTACGTGCTCGACAGAAAGAAATGACCGCTGTCGAGCATAGGTAGCTTTGGGGCCGGCTCCCTGGGACTGCGGTAGCGGAACAGGAGAATCGGGTAGGTCTCTAATTTGTATTCCGTGCGACGCAGTCGGAAGTTGGGACATAGACAATGTAGAATTCTCTGATGATTCAGTAGATACTTCAGATGAAGCACGGGAGCCAACATCACTAGGTCCGATTGGAGACTCAGATCTACCGCGGGGTGTGGTGCTCAACGCATCTACGATCCTTCTCCGCGATGGAGTAGTACTCACGAGTGTGGTGTGCCCTATAATATTGTCCTCGACTTCAGTAGTAATTGGGTAAGAGGCCGCACGCTCGAGCCCCAGCAACGGAGATCCCTTCGGTTGGGGCTGCTGTGCTGGCTTTCCTGGCCTGGCGAGCTTTGGTGCAGCAGGCTTCAAGGTCCGCTGACTCTGTTGCAGTAATGACAACAGACCAGGGTTCTGGCGCGAACTCTGGTATGTCTGTGAATTTGCGGTCGTTGGATCTTTAGAGCGACGAGGCAGGTTGACATTGGGTTCATCCACCGCTCCTTCTTTGGTGGAGTGTTCATTGTGTTTCCTCAGCTTCTTTGGCGTCAGAATAACAACCTCGATTTTGCTAGTAGTTGTCCCAGCGGTTCCTGGGGATTTTGTAGGTGTACTCTGTGTGGTTGCACTGGGGTTTGGGAGATCGTGGCGGGAATGGCGCTTCGTCGCATGCTTTGCTCTCGGGATAATAATCTCTTCAAATCCGTTCGAAACCCATTCATCCTTAGGGGATACTATCTTTCTACGTTTTCGCCAAGGCTCTTTCCCCTCATGTTCCAGTTCATCACCGGACAACGCAAAATCGTAAACATCTTTTTCTTCCCCACCATAGCTGGGTGTTGGACGGCGTAGCGAGTTCGGCCTGGACGGTTTCGCAAGTTTAGGAGTCTGAAGCGCGCCATAGCGTTGATGACCCTGCCTGTCTTTAATTGTTGTTTTCCTGACTCCTGTCGCTGTACTCTGGGGCAGTGAAGCAGGGTTTTCCAAATGTTCTTCTGGCCAGGTGTCTGGTGCTTGCGTTCGGGTCGGAGTTGTCGACGATTGGAATCCATTCCAGTGCTGGGCTTTCTGCGACGACTTCCCGTAAGTGACCAACTTGCGGTGGGTTGTTACATCTTTCGCTGGCGTCATATTTCGACTGTAGTATCTCCCGCACGAGGTTCCTTAGGTAGGATGAAACGAGGGGAAAGGAGAGGTTAGAAGAATGGCGACAGGCGCTTGGTTGTCCATCTAGTGAAAGCGTCAAGAGGCCATCCGCATTTACCGGGTGAATGGTTTCGTCGGATGTTTCGAATCCACGCGTGTCGTATTCCTTGCGCGCCGGATGGAAAAGAGCGTGATGGGTTTGTTGTTGACGGGTTCCTAGCAGATGTACTGAAGATGGTGGGTTTATGGCGGGAAGTTGAACCAGCTGTTTTTTATGCCAGGGACAGAACCAACAACAGGTGACTGAGGATTAGGTGAGCATGCGACAGACAATAGACACCATAACAACAGAACAGTGTGCACCTTCACGAGGAATATGTAGTATGTATGATAATGCGAAGCGTGGTATTCCGTAGTCCTCGCATAAATAAGGCTTCATCTTCATGGATTGAATAGTGCCAGCGCTGCATGATGCTGCGCAGGGAATTTTAACTAAATACCTTCATGGTTTGCACGCACGAACTTTATTTAAACCCGCACATCAGCCAACCGACTGGCGGGAGTGCAAAGACCTACGCAGTACGGAATACTCCGTAGTTACATAACTATCAGCTCACATTGGGCTTCTCAGCCTGGACAAAGCAACTCCTATCCTAATAATAAGTGGCCAATAACTAGCTAGCAGCCGGTGGCGGAAAAGCCCCGCCTGAGATGTTTGCTGAGCGTGGCTGGTTGGTGGTTTCCACTCTTGCCCAGGTGTGGTTTTAGGTCTGGCTGTTTTCTTCCCCGTTATTTCAATACTCGCTCCCCCACCCCACCCCCGAGCTGCCATAGTAAATGTTGCTTACTTAGTGCTACAGCTTGATGCCCTTGGGTTTCGTCCCAGATATATCTATATCTCTGCGTGCAGTTCACTTTGATTCACGTTGGACGCTGGAGACTTACTTAACCTGGAAAACTCCTCCGAATTTCCGAGTTGACGTATCCCTAAGCTTGTTTACACTCCCGTCCCTTGGCCTCAAACTTTCTTCCCGCAATAGCTACCTACATACAATACCAGCCTTATAAACGCCATGGCTCAGCAGGGGACAGGTGCTCCATTGCCCTGCCAAGGTGTTGGTCCTCTCTACAAACCAGATGGGGAAAAGCCCACAGCGACAGTCTCGCAGGTTGTCGACTACGATAATGTCCATATCCTCCCACAGACTCCTCAGCTAATTGCACTCCTAACGCAAGTTAATTTTACTCCCCCGTGTGCACTCTAGGTATTTTACCTCGACTATAAGGCTAATTCGATACCTATAAAAGTATGATAAGGGACACTCGTACGGAGAGAGCAGATTTCATATTTTACTCGAACAGGATCATACGTTTGTTGGTGGAAGAAGGCTTAAATCACCTACCCGTGGTTGAGCAGTCAGTAACAACTCCAGTCGGCAGGTCATATCTTGGAGTCAAATTCCAAGGGAAAATATGTGGTGTATCTATCATGAGGGCAGGAGAAGCTATGGAGCAGGGCCTACGCGATTGCTGTAGATCCGTCCGCATCGGGAAGATCTTGATACAGCGAGACGACGATACGTGGCAACCCAAGCTCTTCTACGAGAAGCTCCCTAATGACATAGCAAGCAGATGGGTGCTACTCCTGGACCCAATGTTTGCCACTGGTGGGGAGAACCATCTATATGTTCTTTTTTTTAAACTCAAAAATCATGCTAATGACTTAATAGGTGGCTCCGCAACGATGGCAGTTGATGTACTGAAATCAAAGGGAGTTCCTGAAGATCGAATCTTATTTTTAAACATCATAGCAAGCCCGTCAGGGGTTGCCGACTTCGCTCAGAGGTACCCTAAACTGCGAGTAGTCACGGCATTTATCGACCAAGGGCTTGATGAGAAAAAGTCAGTAACGGACTATTTCTGCGTATATTGACATTCTGCTATTTCTAACTTCAAAAAATAGATATATCATTCCTGGGCTCGGTGACTTCGGCGACCGATACTACACATTGTAGATGAAGTGGAGAAAGTCGACTATATATAAAAGTCGTATGATATGATAAACGGCCCTTGATTCCTGGCAAACCAATTGTTATCCCACCGGGGAATCCCACACCATTTCATTGTAGCGCGTGTTCTCGCGGACTATCGATTCGGTTGGACAAGTGGGGGCGGGAGGACGTCCGTTGTGCGGTAGCTGAGAGGGCAAAGCCGGTTGGCTAGGATTCTTTTATTTTCACAGCCGCGAAAGCATCCAGACTCCGCAGTCGTGTATATATAAACATATATATATATGTATGTATTGCGCGGTTTTTGCTGAATCCCATTTCCATCCAATAACATGACGTTTCAGGCTAAAGCAAGCCGAACCATCACAAATGCAATTGAGAATGACCAGTACCGGACTGCACATAAAACGCCTTTTATCAAACTGGGTAAGAAGCGAGGAGATTATCGAACAATTTTTCGTGGTCAGTAGTCATCAAGGCCGACTTCAGACTGATCGAGTTCCTCTCTTTCAGCCTCGCGTCTCACCGGACCTGAGGATCCTTCATTTGCTCCACGTGCAGTAGTCTCCACAGCATTGCCAGCGGCGGCGTCCTTAGCAACCGCATCGCAGGCATCCACCCAGTCAGAATAAACATCGACGGCAGCGGAGAGATCTAGAGCCATTGCCGGAGGAGCTGTTAGTGGAAGAACGATTATAATCGCCGCAAGAATGGAGAATGTTCCTCACAGTTGATGCCGGTCTGGAATCGCTGGCCGCATATTTTACATGACAGGTTCCCGAGACCCAATTTCTTATCCAGCTTCACTATCACACAATTCTCATGGTTGCAGAATAGACAAGAAAATGTGGTTGGGAGGGGCTCTTTCTGCAATGAAGTTAGCAAACGGAATGCCCTACAAGCTCGGAAATGCGGGTTCATTAACTTACCTTCCTGGGGGCTGCCGGCTTGCGGCTAGACTTCTTGCGCTTGCCCTGTAGAGGAGAGGGGGAAATGAGGCGATCAGTAAATACACGAGAACATAGATAGTTCGGATCACAATGTGGCTCGGGGAGGGGGTAAGAGGACTCGGCCATACCATTTATCTATGCTCCTCAAGTGCTTCAGATCCGCAAACGAAGGCGCCGGGAGACTCAAAGAGGAGGAATAGAACAACAGGATATATTAGTTTGCTGTTCAAGGGCCCTCTGAGAACAATGAACCCATCATGCGATATATGATAGCAATCCGGATGTCAATGTCAAACGAGCTTGCTCTGCGACGATTCATCGTGAGGATATCCTGGTCATGTGATTTAGTTGCCCAAGGCTTGGCATCCTCGAGCTCATCTGAACCGAAACCTCCGTCGAGAGAAGACTAATAACAGAACACTGTCTACAAACCTTTTAGAGATTTTCAATGAGAATATACCTGTTCGTGGCACAGTTGATCGCACGATGATGAATGGAACCTCCTGGCCTAGGAATTATTACTTAATTTGGAGATACGCAGTCACAATTACACAGGCAGATTACACTCGTGGGCGTCCTTCTAGCATTTCAACCACAGCGCAGAATCCACAGAGGCAAATGTGATGGGTAACACGCTCTATTCGAATTTCAACCAACATAGCTTTAGTCCATTCTTCGTTGATGTTAACGGAACGGCAGCGATGCCACCGCTCAAAACCATTCCGTTTCTGCCTGGTCCAGCAGGCTACCTAGCTAGCTGGCGGAAGAGAGCATCCATAGATGATGCCCGGTCCAATGTTTCCCCGAAACCTTCTGCTAGTGTCAAGGGGCCTCATCCTCAAGTTCTGCCCTTTTTCGAACGCCATTCTTCCTTGAATTCTACGCTTTTAGGTGAAGATGGCCCATCAAACTGAGGGTTGCGTGGTTCTAGAGTATGAAAAGCTGCGCCCAGTAGGCAAGTAGAAGAGGTTCAATGTGCTGTAAGGGCTGTTGTAGAAATATAACTAATTTGGCTTCTTTCAGGCCTACTAGAACGGTACTCCACAGCGCGGCATCACCTTGGCTTCTATATCAATGTCGCCGTATCAGCAACATATACCCTGCCGGAAACATGCTCGTACCCGCTGAAGAGTTTCATATATAGAGCATGCAAAATACTTATTGGCCAACATCCTATACTCTCCGTCATCCCTGTGGGCGAAAATACGGATGAACCCCATTTTGTTCGCCTTCCAGCAATTGATTTGGATACCTGCATTTCCTTCGAAGAAAGGCGGCATGGCAACCTTGTTTCCAACCATTCCTCCAATCCTGATCCAGATATGGACTTGGAAAAGCTTCTGAACATCCAACACAACATCCCATTTTCTCCACCTTGTCCATTTTGGAGACTATGTATCTTAGCGAATCATGATCATCCACATATATTCACTGCCTCGTTCATCTTTCATCACGCCATTGGAGATGGCACGTCTGGAATGGCTTTTCATAAAACGTTTCTCCGCGCCTTACATCTCGAGCTTTCTTCAGCCGAGTCCTCAGACCAAGTAGATTGTACGATTGTATCGCCGAATATTCCCCTGTTACCTAACATAGAAGCGCTCCACCCGATGACGGTTTCGATCCCGTTTCTCCTTTCGATACTCTTCAGGGAGAAAATATGGAACAAACAGGATCCCAACTTGTGGACTGGTTCAAAGATTACCATGCCCCTAGAAAATGAAATACGCCTTCTTGTCCTTTCCGAATCTCAGACTCTTTCTTTCAGGGACCTCTGTCGCAAAAATAAGACTACTATAACAGCAGCTCTTCACACCTTGGTTGCGGGAGCTGTTTTCTTGAACGTCTCGGCGCATTACTCTCGACTCCGATGTGTTGGCGCGCTCTCAAATCGGCGTTGGCTTGTGGAGCGGATCTCCGATGACTCTATGGGTGTGTTCGTGCAAAACTTGCACGATTCATATCATCGAGAGAAGTTTTTTGACCAGTCCGGAAACTTCAAGTTTCCGTGGGACGAAGCCGTCAGATCCCGGAAAACAATTGAGGACACAATAAACATGAAAGGCAAAAATGCAATGCCGAATCTATTAAAATATGTGGGCAATTTCCACAGCGAGCTGTTCCTATCTAAAGTAAGCAAAGACAGAGCAGATAGCTACGAAGTATCAAACTTGGGTGTATTCAGGTCTAATCTAGGACCAGAGGCCGGATCGCAGAACCCACGAATTGGCAGGATGGTCTTTTCGCAGAGTGCTAATGTTGCAGGGAGTGCGTTTGCGGTGTCCACCATTACCGGTAGTGACGGATGCCTAGTGTTAGCGTTTTCATGGCAAAAAGATGTCATAGAACTTCATTTGGCAGGAGACATTATGAAAACGGTTGTACAGCAGTTGGCTATCATATTGTCAGGTCACGTGATCTGGCTTACTAATCCTTCCACCATATAACTTTCCACAAGCTAGCAACCTTTCAATCAGACAAGCTTTACACCTTTCACAGGTTATGAGACCTGTTTTGTGCAAAAATCACTGCCAATTCAGGATTCCTTGTCAATATAATCTATTTGAACTACTGCTTCATTCAATACACTCATCAGGAGTTAAAATTGTCTTATTCTATCAGTATTAATGTGTTTGAGATCTTGATGATCAATAATACTACTGCTTGCTTAAAAAAGAGACTTGCAGAAAACACATCACATTTGTAAAAAAGTAAGAAAAAGAGAATGATATTGACAAGGATTCAATAAATGAATATTAAGATAACAGATTCAATATAATCTCACTCACATATATGTTCATGATCTTGTGTTCTTTTCACTGAATCAGTTATAGTTGATAATGATGATTCTTCACACTCACACTCTGTCAGTGAACATTCTTCTGAAGCCTTTGAAAGTTTCACTGATGAATATTCTTCTGAAGTCTTTGAAAGCTTCATTGAAGAACACTCTGCAACACTCTCTTGATTTGAAGCTGGTTTGAATACAGCTTCTGACATGATCAGGCTGATTCTCTGTTTTACTCAACAGCTTGATAAAGCTGATTCTCTTGATAAGAATATTGAACACTCAGATATCTATCATTCAGATAAGACAATATCAGATCAACAGATGAAGCATCTCAAGATAATGCTTAAGATGAACAAGAGAAAGCAAAGAGTCTTAGAACTTAAACTACAACTGAAAAAACTTTATTAACAGAGATTCTCTATAGATTAATCACAGAATATTAACAATCATTCTATTATTACATCAACAGCCACATGGAATTCTAATCTCAGTGAAAGGTTGAAATTCAATCTTTATGAATCAGATAGCTGTGTTAGTAAGACAATCTCTTAATTTAAGAAAGATGTCAAGAATACTGTGAGATCAAACAGTCTGACTGACACATTCAATTACATCATATAAAGCATCTTCATGAAATTGAAACTGGTTAATACACAGTGCTGATATATGATAGAGAAATATCAGACTCAGAACTCTCTACAAAGAGATGATGAATAAGCATCATTCTGAGATGTCAGAAATCAGTGACTCTACACATTCATCTTGAACTTCTTGAGTGCAGATGTCAGACCACATTTCTTCAAGTATGATAAAAATTGAATCACTTATACTCTATGAAATACAATTGAACAGAAATACTCTGTCTCTAAAACACAGTTACACTGTAAGACAGTTCTGGAATTCATGTCTCTTAGTGACACACAGGTCATCAATCTACACACATTCTTTGATAAGTTTCAGTTCATTATTATGAAATTGAAGATGTTAAATACTTTCTCTTCAGATATGTGAATATTTGATATCTTCTACTCAGTTCTACTCAACAATTGAAGGAATTACATTCAGAAGAAGATAGAGAAGATACAGGATTTCAAATTCACAGCTGTGATATTAAATGTTGATCTTCTCATGAAGAAAATCTGTTCACAGCTTAATTCTTCAAAAGATAAAAAGAATCTATAGAATATAGATTCTGTAGTTAACTCAGCTACAACAGCTATAACAGCTATAACAGTCATATCAACTATCAGCAACAATACATCAAATCCGGCCTGTGAAGACTGTACTGAATGTGATTATAGCAGTACACAAGAAGGCTTCTGAAATTATCAAGAATTGGAAAATTCATCTATATATTCTGAATGTGAGAGATCTCACTTTAACATCTATTGATTGATTAATTCAGACAGTGCTTCAGATAATTGAAGAATAAACAACACTGTGAGAATAAAGAAATTCAAAGAAAAGAAGAAAAAGAACAATAGTAAGAGTAGAACTCAACTATTCATTACAGATGAATCAGACATCTATCAGATGACAAATCTTGCAGAGGTTATCAATATATCAGTCTGTTTTATGAAATCTCACAAGAATTCTCTCACTATATGAGATAGTGATGCTGAATGTCACATAGTAAGTGATAGATCATGATTTTCAGAACTTATAGCAATCAATGATTCAACAGTTCAAGTGATTAATAAGGTCATTATAAAGATTCAGAGTGTCAGCACTGTATTCATCTCAGTGAGTGAAAGATTGATAGAATTCAATTATATATACTACATGTCAGAACTATCTGCAAATCTGATCTTCACTGAGCTTATGAAATGTCAGAGCTATATTCACTGTGATATATAAGTTAATACTGAGAACTACTTTAAGTTTCTATCATCTATCAATAGTGATATCTTCTACATCAATCTGTCTCATAATAATATTTATATTCTATTCAACAGCTCACTGATATTTCATAAGATAATGAATGACTCAATGTATGAAGCAGTGATATATATAGCTGTTCTGAAATCAAAGACAATCTCAACAGATTACAATCTGAGTGCTGAGTCTTTGAGATCTTTCAGCTGTGAGAAGATTGAACAGTTAATCAACTCTAAGAATTCAGATACTGATTTCTTTATTATCTTATCTTTATCTTGATTATCTGCAGTTCTTCTGAAACAGCTTCTGATAGATGAGTGACATTGTTAACTTAATTATATCAGTGAAAATAGTATATTAAAAATGATCAGAGATCTGTGATTTGATATTATTATTATTAGTCTGAAGAAATTATCATTCTGTGTCATATATATTAAGTTTAAACAGAAACACACTTTCTACAAGGATTTCACACCACATTGTGTCATCTATAAGACCTTGAAGATTTGAGTGAATATCTTCAGTGATGATGAGACTCTTGAAACTGAGAATGATATATCATCTTACACTGATAAGAAGCTTGTAATAATGATAACAGATGATGCTATCTGTATAAGATGAATATTTCTATTGAAATGCAAGAATGAGATGTTGAGATATCTACAGATCTTCAATCAATTCATCAAGAATCTGCTGAGATGTGGCATTGCAATCATTCACTCAGATTGTGAAGAATTGAATTCAAATACAGTCACAGTATATATGCTCAGTGAAGATATAAAATGAGAGCTGATTTTCTCTCATACTTCACAGCAAGATGAAGTATCTGAATGATTAATTGATTTAATTATTAAGAAGTCTCAATCACTATTAATAGACTCTTCAGCTCTGAAAAAGATGTGAAATAAGACAGTTATTACAGTCACAGAGCTGCTTAATCTTATATCAATCTCAACAATATTGTATGAGAGCTCTGAAAATACAAAGCTGATTATACTATATAAGGTCTGACTTGAAGCTCTATCTTCTGCACATGGTATTCACTGATGAGGTTGCAAAGCATTCTTGAAGATAGTTTTCAAGCTCATCAATAAGATGACTTCCTGTTTCAAAGAGTTGATTTTTGTAAAATATAATGATTTTATCAATTATAGATTGATGAACCTCTTCAACAGATGTTTATATATATCAAAAGACATTATCTTTCAGAAGAACCTTCATCTTATCAATTCATTGATATTAATAATACACAATCTGAAGATTTTACTCAATGCAGTCTGTAAAGCAGCTGCAGTAATTTCTTCAGTAACATCAGGCCTACTCACTGCAGTCTGTAAAAAGACTGCAGTGATTTCTAATTCATCAATTAATAATCTGTTCATTGATGAGAAAATTCAATCTGAGTGTTCATTATTTCTTATACTCACTAATAATTGATAAATTAACTATAATATCTCTATGAGAATACCTATCTTTTTAGTGCAGAATACACTGAACTTCTCAGAATTCACAGTTAAATTGAATGATTCTCTGATATTTATAAGAGATATCACTACAGTGAGGAAAACTTCAGTGAGAGATAGTCTTGAAGATCTACTCACTGATCTCAAGATCACTGTACTTTCAATCTCAAAAAACCTCATATATGTCAAAGCTTTCATGAAATGAAAGTATTATTATAAGATCTGTGTTAAAGAGATTAACTGTTTGAAATAGATAGAGATCTGATAACTGATTAAGAGAATATCACAAATGAGTATTCTTCACAGTCAATGAGTATTTAATAAAAAGTTCAATAATATAAGTGATGTTATTCACTATAAGATCTGCTGAGTTGTCTATGAAAATCTTTAACAGAAGAAAGTCAATTACTCAAGAATCTTTGCACTCATTATCTCTGCATTCATCTCACAAGCTCTTATAATAATCTTAGTATCTCAGAGATGATATGTTCTGCAGATTGATATAATAACTGCTTTTTTAAATACTCAACTGTCTGCTGATGAATAAATATATATGAATCAACTCACAGAATTCTGTGAAGACTGTGATAATCTTATGTGTGAGTTGATGCAGAGACTCTACAGTCTTAAGCAAGCAGCACTCTTATGATATGAAGAGCTGTGAAAGATACTATTGCACTCAGACTTTCATATCAGTCTCTATGATGCTGAACTATTTATTCATAATGAAAGACAGGTCTATATAATCATCTATATAAATGATATTCATCTCTACAGCCTGAAAATCAAAGACCTGAACTGGGCCAAAGCTGAAATCACTGCTAATTATGAGATCAAGAATGTAGGGAATTTCAACTGCTATCTAGAAATGAAGATTGATAGAGATTCAACTTCATTAACATTGTCTCAACTTCTCTTTATAAGGAATCTTCTGGAGAAGTTCTCAATAAATGACTGTCATTCTACATTCACTTCTATGAAGAAGAATGTTGATTTCATGAATGATGATGAGAAACTGATTGCATACACAGCAGAATTTATTCTACAGTTCTATCAATCTGATATCAGATTCCTGCAATATCTGGCATTCAATACATGTTCTGATATGAGCTTTGCTGCAGGATTCCTTGAACAATTCAGCTCTCAGCCTACATCAAAGAACTGGGCTGCATACAAGTGTACACTCTGATATCTACAGGGTTCAATCAATGAGGGTATAACCTATCACAGAGGTGCCGAAATTGAACCTGTAGCATACACAGATGCCAATTGAGCTGGTAGGGATCCAGGATCCCATTCAACCACCGGTTATATCATCTACATGGCAGGTGGTCCCATTGCATGGCGGAGCTGCCGGCAAACAGGGGTCTTCAAGTCATCAACAGAGGCCGAATATATTGCATCCTCTGAGGCTGCATATGAGCTTGTCTATCTCTGAGAGCTTCTAGAAGACACTGGCTTCATCCCATCCTGTCTCAACAATCTGGATGCTGATGATCACCTCATTCCCACCACAGTCAATGATCTGGCTTATACAATCCATGCTGATAATAAGTCTGTCATAGAGCTATCCTCTTCTGAAGCAATTCCACACTGCTTGAAGCATATAGAGGTCTGTTTTCACATTCTTCAGGATCTTGTCTGCAAGAATGAGATATCTATTCAATATGTTCCATCTGCTGAGAACATGATGAATGAGCTTACTAAACCACTTGGAATGTTGAAATATATGCATTGGAAAGAGAATATAAAGAAGATAGAGGGATAGAGGGATAAAAAATGATGTATATCATGACTGATTTTTCATTACTTCACATTTTCCAGTCATTTTTTGTATCTGTACTTGATTTGAAGGCGAATTTTGTATATAGCATCATGTATAGTTACTCTGGTGAGTGGGGGTGTCAGGTCACATGATCTGGCTTACTAATCCTTCCACCATATAACTTTCCACAAGCTAGCAACCTTTCAATCAGACAAGCTTTACACCTTCCACACATATGATGTTGGAAGATGGCACAGCCGCAAGAACATACATACTTCTTTACGAACCACGCTACTTTTCAACTGTAATATTTCGCCTTTAATTAATTATTGACTTCAACAGGTCGGTGTGAATTAATTGTAATATTTTATATAACTGTTTAATTAATTTTTTTAAAAATGAGAATATCTACTAAATCAAGCATAATAATATGATTGAGTAGGATCCTCTCAACAGTTTGAATTAGCGCTAAGAATTTAAGCTGTAATATTGATACAATATCATTCTCAAGCCCCTGGGGTTTAGGCTAGCTTTAGTTAAGCTGTAGCTGGTTATTCAGAGACCACAGACATTAACTTCCCTTAGAACTCTGGTTAAAAGAGGGAATGAGAATACTTTATGCCTGTAACAAAATTACACCTTAAATTCTTAGCACTAGTTAATCAAACTTTTGAGAGGATCCTCCGTACTGGGATATCAGTGTTGTGAGGTTGAAAACACCAAGCTACTTGCTGACATCCCTTTATTTAATTCGCGAATTCGCTGCTGAACACCACGCTAGATTTCATCTTTAAATAATAACACGGATTTGATGTGAGCTCTTGGGATCAAAAACCCGAGACGGCATTTCCATCATTCACATTGATTCTGTCCCTTTTCGCGTCTCTTCCCAAAGGCATAATCAGGTTAAACAATATGGTCGGCACGCCACCTCAACGCGTCCATCCCAGGTCAATCTGGAGTCGAAAGTTGGATATTCTCTACGTTGTCTTTCTTTCAACGACCGTTTTTCTTGCTTTTGGTACGTTGCCATGTTGCCTCAGGCCCCCTTTTCCCCATCCCTTCTTCGCTAGGGATTTGGCAACCTAATAATGATGGCTGAAACAAATAATAGCTATCGACTTCGTGCCATTCTATCCCGCGGGATTATTCCCTCAGTGGACAACAGCAGTTCACGACTTTTATGTCAACAACTACAATGATCCTCTCTATGTCAAGGACCCGCCTTTCTTTCAGCTGTTTGTTGCCATCGAAGCTCTGTATTCTGTTCCGTTGAGCCTTTGGGCGATCCGTGGCTTGATCCAAGGTGCGTCACCGTCGTCTCCTGACTTGAATGCGTTTGCCGCGAGTCAAATGCACTTGCTGGGCGGTAGCTGAATTTTTCCCAAAGATAATCGCATAGTGCCACTTTATCTTCTTCCCTTGGCGACCCATCTTGTTCTATCTACTGTCATTTGCTTTGTGGAGGTGTGGAACACCCAGGACTGGCCCGCGGCAGATATTAATAAGAACCTGCCTGGATATATTGGCTTTTTCATCATTGGTATGTTCCCCGTCCGTTCGACATCTTTACCTATCAGTCAGTCTAATTTAATTGACGGGAACTTTTAAGCGATCACTATGTGGGTGGATATGTTCTCTCGTCTTAATTCATCTTTGGTTGAGAAAGCCAAGGTAAATTGAGACAAGAGAGGGAATGTGCCTCCTATTTTAGGGAAAATTTACTCCTGTTGGGTGTGATTGATGGAGTGAATTTGCTCCTAGTTAGGATTGGAATACTGTACGCCAATGTGTCGGAAACATGCATGTATGTACGACACATATATTACTCCCAGGTCTATATTAAATTTCGGCCTTCTCAGACTCAGTGCCATTTACTTTTTCCCGAAATAAACTTCTTCTACAGACAGCTAACATAAATATTCAGTGTTTTTGTGGTTTGACACCTCTCTCACCATTTCTCATTCACCTTCAATTATCAACTACTCATGCTCAAACATCTCTAGCCACTATAAATATCAATTTCAGCATGAAAAGAGTTATTTCTCTATATATGAGATATTATTTATAATCTATTTACTTTCAGATAGAAAGTAAAAGATGGTGACTGGGATGGTGTATGACTAGACTACACCGTGCAAGAAGATCAAACAACTCAAACCAACTGAGCTTTCAACATTTCAGCTTACTCTCACAAACTCTGCTACTACATCTCCTTTCACTTCTAATACTGTCGCAGCTCGCCCTCGGAAGCAGCGACAGGCTAGTTTCAAGACCAGGAAAACCACCGCAGAGGCCAAGGATACCGAAGGGCTTAAACACTGGAAGACTCCGGCGAAAAAGAACGGAAAAGCTACAGAACTACAAGAGGGATGGTAAAGATTGTCAATGCCTTGAAATTACCTCAGATCAGCAGACGACTACTCGGTTTTTCCAAAGCATAGCGGCAGCTAACGGAAACCGCAACATCTTCGAAATCTTGCCGCCCGAGCTTATCCTCCGGGTCCTTCTCTTCATAGAAGGATGGGATCTTAGAAGGATCAACATTGTGTGTATTAAGCTCACTAACCGAGCTGCTACTAAATTCATTTAGTGGCACGTGACTAAGGTAGGCGTAGTAATCACTAGACTGGCCGGCGGGACCATGAATTTCACATTTAATCTCATTTGATCTGATCTCATACATTTCTTGATGTAAGTCTCACCAGGACTGAGTATCAAAAAAATCTGAAACTGAATCATTTCTTTCAGAAATGATATGAAAAATGACTAGATTTAATTCAAGAACAGTGAAATAAGAGTAATTTCTGCCCCGGTGACTGAATGGTTAATGCGGCCACCTGGTAGCGCCTTGGTGTGGGAAACCAAGGTATGTGAGTTCGAAACCCGCAGGGAATACATTAAATTCAGAACTCAAGCACCTCAGGTTTCTAAAAATATCTTAATGT